TGCTTGACTTCTTTTACATTTGGAAAAAAAATAAAAATAGAAACAAAAGAATTAAAAGCACAGAAAATGATGGAAATATCTGACATATTTAATACATTCCAATGTAATAATGACATTTAAAAAGTAAAACGTAAGATAAAAGCTGGGGCGGGGGGGAGGTACAAATGCCTTGGGCTGGATCTCAGCACAGCTCAAAAGAAAAAGTAAAGTCCGGGGTAGTATTTTATCATACATAAAAGAGACAATGAGTTTGTATCCAAAAATATCTATAGATCAATTTTTTCAAAATACCAACTCAAAGAAGTGAGCAAAACTTAGAAAAGGCAACTCACAAAAGGGGAAATCTGAAGAGCCAACAAATGCGAAGAGATGTGGAAAATTACTTCCATGGGGGAAATACAATGAGATGCTATTTTTTACTAATTTAGATTAGGGAAACTTAAAAGGCCTGACAAAATAAAAACAGAGAAAACAGAATTTTCCTACAGCACCAATGCAGAGAGATTAGAGACATCTTGCTGTCACTAGAAAAGTTAACCATAGATACTGCCCAACAATTTTATTTCTGTGTGCAAACCTGTTCAGTGATATATTCTTTAAGGTAATAAAATTGTGGAAGTAATCTGCTTGTCCCAAGGAATGGCTATAATGAAAAATTACTCAGATCTTCAGTAGTACTCTATCAGTCACAAGCAATGGATTTATAGTTCTTGATAATTTATGGTTCGGTAAATACCTAGGAATAGAATTATTATGGAAAGATGTTTGCTTAACTTTATAAGACACTGATAAGCAGTTTTTAAAGGGTTTTTATGACATTTGTATTCCCACAAGCACCCTATATGAGAATCAAAGGCTCTAAACATGGTACTGTTCTGCTGAGAGCCACAATGTGGATGCAGTAAACCAAGGTGTACAGCAAAGGTGTTTTTTTATCATGCCAAGAGCAAGATAAACTGTTTCTGTTCTTTTAACTTCTGGTGTTCAAGGGGACATGTTTTCACCAAGGGTTACATCAATAATTCATAAACTGGAAGCTGAGATTATCACCTATCTCCTTATAACCCTGAACAACCATGCAAAGAAGATTTTTGATATCAGTGGGGTAACCTATCTTCACTTTCTCAAGGAAAGGATGCCACGCCACACCACGGAGACTTACAGTAGCAGGTTGCAGGTTGGATTCCCGAGAAGCAGACAGAGTTCAGCACCCAGAGTATTTATATTTATAAATGGCTTTGCAGTCTACATCTTGGGAAAAAGAGAGAAAGGAAGCAGATTTGAGTAGAGGGAAAAGTTGAACTGGATTCAGAATCCAACAGTCTCAGCCAATCCTGCAGGGAGTTCTGGACTTGAAATGACCTTTCAGAGTGTTCCCCAGATGAGCAGAGAGCCCAGCTTTTCTGCCTTAGTGTTGAACAGTCACTAGATTCTGACCAAAATGGGAGGAGGCCTCGGGTGAGGCAGCTTTCTACAACTGAAAGTGTTCACAGCTGAAGGCTGACCTCTGACTGCAGGGCTGGAGCAATAAGGCTTTCCCTAAAGAATGAAAAGTGTCAAGGTCTCAGTCACTTAGCACACAACAGTTTATTCCTTGCTCATGCAAGCTACTATGGGTCTAGCATCTCTGTAGGGCTGTTCCCTCCAAAGTGAATTCAATGTGCTGCTGTCTTATGTTTCCACCATCTCCATATAAACTTAATCTCCCAGTCAGCCAGGCATCTACTCTCATCCTCTTGGTGCTTGAAAGACTATCAAAATATACAAATAATATCATGTCTACCATGTTTTAAACTTCTAATGCCTTGTTCCTCTGAAGTGAAAGCAATTCAAGTGCTTGACCTGAGATTCCAGGCCCACATAGTAGGCCCCGTTTCTCGCTTCCTCTCTATCTCCCAAACACAGTCAAGCCACCTTTGAATTCTTGAAAAACAGAATCCCCAAGTCCATGTTGGATTTTTGCACTTGCCCCTCCCTGTGAGTGGTAAGAATACTGTAAACATTCTATATTGCCATGTTTATCCCAGACTCAAAAACAGTCTCAGTCTATACTGCAGGGAACTCTGCCAATTGGGGCTTAAAAAAGTCTCCTGCTGTGTGACAGCTTCCCTGGTCTGGGGTCACAAACCTGCATCTGAGAGAATGTCTTAGGAAGGAATAAAGAAAGGCAATGATACTTGATGCCTCCATATCTCTCTTTACACCTCTGTGGTACAATATCCTCCTTACTGAAGCCAGGAAACAAGAGCTCAGCATGGGAAATCAGAGGTGACGCTTGCACTCATGCTCAGGACACATCTGTCTAGATTTTCCTGGCGAGGGCTCCCCCCAGCTGGAGACAGTCAGGATATCAGGGGATTGAGAGCAGATCTGGGAAGAAGGAAGCCAGCTAGGAGCAACCTTCACTGCCCTCCCTGGCTCAATCTTAAAGAAACAGCAGGGCCCTCTGGTGTCCACCCAACTCCCTGAAAAGGTCTCCTGTGTGCTTTAAGAGTGTGTGCGGAGTTTGGGGAAAGCCCTGCACTGTCTTCTCTGTACCACATGTAGCAGCTTCCCATAGAGCCAAACGGTGCCCAGAGACCAACAGTAGGAATGAATCATGAAATATATCTATATCCAATCCCTACTTAGGAGGGGAAAGTGAAAATGCTGTTTCAAAGCCTTAAGCACTCATGATAAACGAATATGGAGAGAAACTAGAATCCTAAACAGAGAAGCTAAGAAGAAACAGGAAGGACTCAGGAATTTCTTTGAATATTTATTTCAGTGTGCACAGGGCTGTGAAGGTGGCAAAGAACTATTGCTTCCATTAGTTTCTGAGTTCATAGGGAATTCCACAATCACTTTACTACATTTTAAATTTAGTTTTAATTTTATTATGATTTTCAAAATTATGAAACAATTTACATTAAAATTAATACAGTGCAGTTATGAAGTTGAAAATACATCAAGGCAGATGCAAAGGAAGACAAATGAGGTTCAATGGAGAATATGCAACCTAAACTACAAACTGATTTAAAAGGTCTTGAGCAAGGACTTGCAAAAATATTTTTACACCAGTACTGCTACAGCACTATGCACAATACCCACAATTATTCTCAACAGTCAAAGATGAGAAGAACCCAAATGTCCACCAACAGATGAGTAGATAAAGAAAACATGGTATTTACCAAGAATGCAGTCTTACTTAGCCTTTAAAAGCAAGGAAATCCTGACATGCTACAGTGTGAACCGTGGCACATTATGCTAAGGGAAACAAACCAAAACACCCCGGTGTATAGTTCTACTTGTTTAAGGCACACAACCATCAAATTCATAAACAACTAAAATAGAATAATGGACACCAGCAGTTGGGACAGAGAAAAAGAGGGAGTCACTGTTTAACGCATAGGGTTCCACTTTGTCATAATTAAAAGCTTTGGCAGACGGATTAGGACAGTTCTATAATGCACTATCATTAAAGCCACTAGATTATATACTTAAAACTGTTACAAAAATAAATGTTGTTGTATATACTTTACCACAATTAAAATATTTAAAAATTAAATGAACATAAGTTGTTCTATATTCACGGCTATACGTCCATTGTGAAATTTCACACTTAGTGCTATAAGTCGTCGTCTATAGATTTGGTCTCCTTTGGCTCGTCTGATAAGATTCATAACTCCTACTTGCTTTTCCACGGTAGGGTTTTGCCCATTCTTTACTGTTTTGACCTTTCTGAAACACTGTGCGTTAGATACATCTCTTTTATATGAAGCTGATTTTAATTAGATATTTTAAGGATTTTATCTCTTTGATTTACAGGTACAAATTAGGAATAATATTTTTGATTGTTTTATTGTTGACAGGGCTAGGGATTGAGTCCAGGCTCTACTACTGAGCTGAATCCTCAGCCAACAATAAACGGGTAAAATATCCCTAAGGCCAGAACTGCAGCCAGATTCAGTCTGTCATAAATCTAGCTCCTCCATAAGCAGTGGCTGCTGGGGGCCTGAGAGGTAGGGCATGTTGCCATCGAAGGACTGGAAAGGCTCAGTGGAGGGCAGAATTAGTGACTTAGTAAGTTCATCCAGAGCCTCAGCATCAATCAGTGTTGGCCCAAAGGATTGTGGGAGCTGAACCCACAGCACTACTGGGGAAGTGTTCCAAGGGGGACAAAGTAAATAAGAGTTGTCTGTGGCACCTGGACCACAGGAGGAACCACAGGCACATCCCTATTCAGCAAGGGGCTGAGCTCCTGGATGTTACCCCCACCTCCTTTGGCAGCCTATGGGGTGGGAGGTTCCACTTCAGAGTTCACTGGGATCCTTGCTTGTCATGAAAGGAGAAAGCCTCAAACATCCTGAGAAATGTATCAGACTTCACTGGGGACAGGTGGAGGCCACTACTGTTTTATAGCTGACACCTTTCCAAGTTTCTTGGATATGTTAGTTAGCTTTGTTACCATAATAAAATACCTGAAGAAATCTATTTTATATTTTTTTAAAAAGACGTTTCTTTTGGGTCAGTTTTGGAGACTGGAAGTCTGGATAGCAAGAAGAAATCTCCTGTGAGAGCACCTATTTCCTTATCGCATCATGGCAGGGGTTTGCACATGCGCAAGTGTGTGTGGTCACTCTCCCACTCTTTATAACACACCTTGGATTCAGTTATAGGGATGATACCATAGGGAGTTAATCTAAGCTGGTCATTTCCCGAAGGATCTATCTACACATACAATAGTTACATTAAATTTCCACACTCTTACTACCTTTATCCTGAGACTTTAAGGGGAAATTTGCTGCATCATTTCATGGGAACAAACTACACTAACAGTGTAGTGCTAACAGTGGTATCAGAGACACAGCCACAATTACAACGTGTTTGATAGTCACGGGAGCAGAGGACTAAGAGCACGCTTTGGTAGTGAGCATGCCACAAGATTCAAAGGTGCAGTTTGTGTAGCATTAGACCTCAGGGAACTGAGTCAGTGGCAAAGGGTTCCTCGAAACATCTTCTCAATCCAGGATCTTAGAGGAATAAGAATGGTCCATCCTTACAACGTCAGCCAGGTTCACAGGGGAAATGCTGTTGCCAGCAATGCGCCCTGAGGACCTTCCCAAAGGCATATCAACTTTAGGAGCAGTAACTGGGAAGACTAAAGGAAGATTGGTTGTAACGTCATCCAGGGACAGCAAGCACGAACCAGGGTGCATAGGATTGTGGGGATCTAGTGGGGGTCCCAAGAATTGCAGATCAGGGGCACAACAACAGCCAGAAGTCCTCCCAGAAAACTGAGGCCCAGGGCTCACAGGCCCAGGCTCCTCCATCAAAGCTCCACACTCAGGCAAGGGCTGATTCACTGAACCCAGAGCTGGATGTCCTGTGCCCATCACAGGGAGCTTCTGGGTCTGAGCCAGCCGTGTTGAACCCTGAGCCTTTGATACCCTAGGAGGACCTCTACTTGGTCTGCCTGCTGAGAATTGGAAATCCGGGTTGACCAGACTTGGAGTAGAGGACTGGATCTGGGTCTGCCTTTGGTAGCTACGGATGACTGCATCCTGGTGCTGGACAGAAGCCCTTTGGGAGGAGGAGAGGAGCCTGTGCACAGTAGGCATGGGAGTACAGCGCCTGAACCCACTGACTGTGTCCAGAGATTCACTGAGACGCCTGGATCCCTTACCACGGAGGCGCCTCGTGCCAGGGGAAGATTTGCACTGAAAGCGAACTTTGATCTTGGTGTTCACCTGGTGTCTAGCATCCACCAGGGGTTCTCGGTGTTCCACTACCAGCTGGTCTTGACCCCGTTTCCACAGCTCAAATCCTTCAGGTTGCAGAATGCGCACAAAAGCATCCATGGAAAAGCTGACCCTCGCCTCCCCACAGCTGCACTGAGATGCCACTTTTCCATAATTGATCCACCTCGGGGTGGCAAAATTGATGGCCTCTGCACAGTTGAAGCCATGGTTGAAGCCAGCGTGGTAGCCATAGGGAAACGTCACCATGAACTCCCCAGCCTCCTGAGTCACACAGCTGAAGGGGATCCCATTGTCCTTGAGCACTGTGGGTGAGATGAGAGCCACCTTGTGCCTCAGGAAAGCCCCACAGCTCCGGGAGCTGCCTGGGAAAAGCTCCCTGGCCAGGAGTTCCAGGCGCTGGCTATGCTCTGGGGGCACCGCATACCAAGTTTTGGGCTCCCCAAAGTGCAGGTAATTGATGCTGTAGAGGTCCATGTCCTCCGTGTGCCACGCAAACGTGGTCTTCCACATACCAAAGTACAGGTAGGGTGTGTTGACTCCCTCGATGACAACTCCACATTCCTGCTCCAACAGATCCAGAATGGTTCCCAGGCGCCTGAGGTTCCACTGCTTTGTGTTTTCATCAAACAAGGAGCCACTGACGTCAGCACCGTAAATGGGTGAACCATAGAGGCGATTCTTCCAATATTTTCTCTCCAAATCTTTAAAACTCTCGTGTAGAGGAGTCTGGTGCTTTTCACTGTCGGCCAGGTGGTGGTACTCGCCCACTGTCATGGCTTTCTTCCTTTTATGGTGTTGCATAAACACACCTGCCTTCCCAGAGACCACCTGCTGCAGAGGAGTGGCTATGACCAGGTCACTGATGCTGTCATAGGACTCTCTGGCTCTCCACCCCTTGGGAGGAATGACCTTGGCTAGGCCAGCTCTGTGTGCACCCTGGGATTCCATGTAAGTAACGTATTTGCTGAAATCTGCAAACTCCTCTGTGGTTGGCCGGAAGGTCATGACTGTGGAAAGGGGGTTCTGGGAAACAGAATGCTCAGGCTTCATCCCTGTGATATTATCAGCCCTAGGCACAGGCCACAAGTTCATAGGTGGGTCTAGACAGCTAGCTATGTTAGAAAGTAAATTCTTTCTTTTTTTCTTTCCACTTTTTTTTTTCTCTCCTTCTTTAAATGCTTTGGTTTACTTTGGAGGCAGGAACTCAGACTTGATCTTTTGATTGAGGGAAATGATATTTCCCACAGAGGTGATTCCCCAGCAGTACTCTTACATTGTTTACAGTAAGTCTGAAAATAAGTGAGACAAAAAAGAAATAAAATGTTTAACTCAGAAACTGGAGAAATTCACAGCAGTGACAATTTAAGCACTAAAAGGAAACATATGCAGCAGAAACTTTAATACCTTACACTACTAGGGAAAGAAAAAATGAACCTTTGAAAAAATCATCAGAAGTGAGAAACTGGCCATGGGAGGGATGCCAGGGAATCCCAAGGAGCAGGGTGATGAGGAGGAGAAGGTGGAGGGACCTGAACAGGACACACAGGGAGGGAGACCTCAGCCCTCTGGAAGTTGATAGAACATTTATTTTCCTCAAGAGATGAAAACTAAGGCCATAAACCATGCTTAAATAAATATAAATGAATTGAAATGATCTCTTGGATGCTGTCATATCATAGCAGAATGAATATGGAAATCAACAGTGAAAGAAACCACAGCAAGTATGGGAAAATATAGAAATTGCATATTATTGGATAATCAATGGATCAAAGAAAAATCAAGGAAGAAATTTAAAGATTCTCAGAATAAAAATACAATGGAAGCACAACATACCCAGACCTGTGGGAAACCACAACAGCAGTTCTCAGAAACAAGTGCATGCACATATTCACTCAGATGTCATTTGTTTGTTTGTTTTGGTTTATTTGGTACCGGGGATCAAACTCGGGTCCTTGTACTTGTGAGGCAGGCTCTGGAACCACTGAGCTGAAATCCTCAGCCCTGTATGCACATATTCAAAAGTGGACTAATAATGTAATGATGCATATCAAGATTCTAGGAAACCAGAACATTCCAAATCTGAAACAAGTAGAAGCAAAAGCATTGTAAAGGTTAGAGCAGAAAATAATGAAATTGTGGCTAAAAGATAATGCAAAAGATCAATGCATCAAAGAGTACATTCTTCCAAAGGATAAACAAGATTGATAAATACTTCATTAAACTTGCCAAAAAAAGGAAAAAAACTATGTCAATGTAAATTAGAAAATCAAAAGGAATCGGGGCATGGTTGTGCACTCCCGTGATCCCAGCATTCAGTGGAAACTACATAAAGAGACTGTCTAGCTGGGCGTGGTGGCGCACACCTCTAATCCCAGCACTCAGGAGGCTGAGGCAGGAGGATCACTGTGAGTTCAAGACATAGTGAGTTCCAGGTCAGTCTCAACTACATAGTGAGACCCTGTCTCAAAAAAAAAAAAAAAAAAAAAAAAAAACAAAACAACAACAAAAAAACAACAAAGAGAGAGAGAGACTGCCCCCCCTAAAAAAAAAGAAAGAAAGAAAAAGAAAAAGAAAGAGGTGAAATAACAATGAATCCACCAAAACCTAGAGGATTGCAAGAAACTACTTCAAAAGCATTATTCCATTAAACTGGAGAACCAAGAAGAGATGAATAAAAGTTCTAGATATATATGAATTGCGAAAACTGAATCAAGAGACAGAAAATCCTCAAATAGACCAATGCAAGCAATAAAATAGAAGCAATCATAAAAACCCAACCAGTGAAGAAAAGCCCAGGACTTGGATTCATCACTGAATTCTACAAGAATTTCAAAAAAGCTCTAATGCCAACACTCTTCAAATTCTTGTATGAAATTGGAAGGGAAGGAATACTGCCAAATTCATTCCAGGAACCTACCATTATTCTAAGGACAAACCAGATAAGGATTTAACAGAAAAAGCAAACGACAGGTTCATCTCCTTTATAAACATAGATGCAAAAATCCTTAAATTACTGGCAATCAGAATATAGCACATCTTTAAAAAGATCACACTTCTGACCAAGGTGGCTTAATCCCAGGCATCCAAGGAGGGTTCAACAGGGATTAATCAACAAACATGAATCATCACTTAAGTAGAAGCAAGGACAAACTCACATGATCATATCAATACATAAAACAAAACAAAAATGGACAAATTCCAATATGCATGCAAGGTAGAAACCCTGACAAAATAGGCATAGGAGGATCTTATCTCAAATTTGCAAAAGGAAAGGGGACCAAGAGATGGAGGGAGAGGAGCGAGAAGAGAGAGGAAGGGAAAGGGATAAAAAAATAGAAAAAGATATGCTATGCGCAGGTTACCAAGCTGGTAAACACCATCTATGACAAAAACACCAACAAAATCATAATAAATGGGGGAAACTGAAAGCATCTGCCCTAAAATCAAGAGCAACACAGGGATGTCCAACTTCACTACTCCTGTTTGACAGAGGACTTCAAATAGAGATAGGGATCATTCGCCAGTGGGAAAGAGAACAAGAGATGGAGAAAGACAGAATTAATATTTCTTACGGAGTTATATACCAATGCTCCTGATGAATGGCATCATGATATCCTTCAATCACATACTAGTGGAAATGAAAAACAGTGCTAGGAACTTTAGGCACAGCAACCAGGCAAGAGAAAAAAGTAAAGAGATACATATAGGAAAGGAAGAAGTTGAAATATCCTAAGATACTGATGCAATGATCCTTTACATAGAAGATTCAAAGATGTGTAGGCGTAATAAACTCAGAAAAGTAGCAGGATACAAAATCAGAAAAAGAAAATCAGCCAAGTGTGGCGGGACATATCTGTAACCCCAGCACTCAGTAGGCTGAGGCAGACAGATGCACTCAGGACTAAATCAGGAAAGCAATCTCATTGAAAGTAGCTTCAAAACATATATACACACACAAACATACCAAAGTATATGCCCAGGAAATAATATGCCCAAAGGAGAGAGATACCTCTTGTCTTAGTTACTTTTCTCCTTGATGAGACAAAATGCCTGACACCCAAAGTAAAGGAGGAAAGGTTGATTTGGCTCACATGTTATAGGCTTTTCAGTCCGGAATCAGCTGACTCCACGATAGGGTGGCATGGCAGAGAGGCATCGAAGAGGAGAAACACTCCATGCCAAAATGGGGCAGGCAGAAGTTATCCAGCAGTGAAGTAGCAAGCAAGTCCTGCAACCCTCTTCATGCCCCTTTTATACTACCCAGGCAATCCTCCCTTAAAACATTATCCACCCTTCATTCCAGCACTACACACTTAATCCCAGAAGCAACCGGGTGTGGTAAAACACACCTATAATCCCAGTTCTTTGGTGGCTGAGGCAGGAGGATTGCCAAGAGTTTGAGGCCTGCATGGGGTACATAGTGAGTTCCAGGCCAGCCTGAACTACAAGGTGAGAACCAAGGGGAGAAACACACACAAAAAAAAAAAAAAAAAATCCCAGCATCCCACACTTTAGATCCAGCCACCTATGACCATACGAGAATCTGTGGGGTAACTGGATGTGAGCCACAACACCTCTGTAACAAAAGTTGTACTACTCTGAAAAAAGAGATTGAAGGTGATATTAGGAAATGGAGCACATGCCTGTAATCCCGGCACTTGGATGCCAAGGCAGGACGATCACTGTGAGTCCCCATTGGCTGCATAGTGACTTGAACCACACAGTGAGACCCTGCCTCAAAAAAAAAAAAAAAAAAAAAAAAAAAAAAAAAAAAAAAAAAAAAAAAAAAAGAAAGAAAGAAAGAAAGAAAGAAAGAAAGAAAGAAAGAAAGAAAAGAGAAAGAAAAAAAAAAGGAAATCGAAAGGTTTGACTTGTTCCTGGAGAACCAGAACCACCATTATCACAATGGCCATGTTGCCAAAAATGATAAACAGACGTAGTGCAATTTCAATCAAAATACCAACAGAATTTTTGAAAGAACTAGGAAAAATAATCCTATTTTCTTCTTTGACATTTGGACAGAATCCCACTATGTGGTTTATGCTAACCTCAAACTCACCACAATCCTCCTGCCTCAGCCTCCTAAGTACTGGGATTAAAGATATGCCGGCTTGGGCTAAAATTTATACCCAATTTGAAGAGACCCATCATACAAAAAGCAAACCACAAGAGAGCAGCAGAAGGCATCTCAATCTGGATATTAAGTTATATTACAAATCTAAAGGGGTTGTGGTTAAAAACAAACACACATTGTCATATAAAACAAAATGAGGATGTAGAAACAATTCCCAGGTTCTTGGAACCATCTGATATTTGGTGAAGGGGCCAAAAACATATGCTGGAGAAAAGATAGCCTCTTTTATAAGCAGTGCTTAAAAATCTGGTTATTCACTGGGCATGGCATATAATCCCAGCCAGCACTTCCCAGGCCGAGGCAGGAGGATTGTGGTGAGTTCAAAGCCACTCTGGGATACATAGTGAGTTCAAGGCCAGCCTGAATTAATAGCCAGACCCTATCTCAAAAAAACAAACAAACAAGCAAAGCCAAAAATGTGGTCATTCACAAGCAGAAAAATGAATCTGCATCCACATCTCTCACCTGCCCTAAGTTCAAATTAAACAGAGTGAAAGAACTAGTGACAAAAACAGAAACACTTAGCCTGCTGGAAGATAAAAACCAGTAACACTCTGGAAGACATAAACATATGCAAAGATTCTCTAAATAGGAGGGTCTTCTGAACCCAGAATTACCACCAGCGATGAACAAATGGGATAAGTGTGTTGGCAGCAAAAGGGAGCATTCAGACAAGGATTGAGGGCAATGTATCATTCACTGTAAGGAATTTTTTATTTAGACTTCCATAAAACATCCATAGTATTTTTCAGTCAAGTCCCATGTATGTTCCAAAGCAGGAGTTATGTGAGACTTGAGTGAAAAATTACCAAAGGAGAAAAGATGAAATATGCATCCCAATGTATTATTGTCATGATACTTTATCACACAAAATGTTCAGTATCCTCCAAAACAAACTAATACTGTAAAACATAACAAAGCCCATTGAGGAGGCTGAGGCAGGAGAATTGAATTCTAGGCCAGCCTGAGCTACACAGTCAGACCTCATTTCAATAAACAAAAATCATCACCGTGTGGCCTGTAATGGCGCCCACCTCTAATGCCAGCATTTGGGATCTGAGACAAGAGGGTTGACTCTGGCCTAGGCTACATAGTGAGGTCAAAGACAGCCTCTACTACATATGAAGACTGTCTCAAAGAAAACGTATCTGCATTCTGTAAACCAGTTAAACAATCAGTTATGACATAGAATAGCAAAAGAATTTTTCAGTTGTGTGTGTTTGTGTGTGTGTATGTGTGTGTGTACGTGCACATATGGGCACGTCTGTGTGCTGTGGGTTGAAGCAAAGGTTTCTGAAAAGCATATGCTTTACCAATCAGAACACCACTAGCTCTATTTCAAATCTTTTAATATGAGAAGTTCAGGTTCCAATGAAGAAAACTAAAAATGACATACATTTCAAATGTGATCAGTAAATGCATAAGGAAAATGATTTTCCAACTAGGAGGTGCTTTCCAATACAAATGTCATAATTTTTAATGGTTTTATTCCTAAAGGAAAAGCAAAACAGAAAAGGAGGCTTGCTGTCTGGTGCTCTGAAATCTTGATTCTGAATGATGGTATGTACCAAAGCATTGGCAGAATTATTTCCTTTTAGGAGTTGGCATAAAACATGCCTTACTCAAAGTCAGGCCATATATATCTGTTATGACTTGTGTCTGAATGTCCTCCTAAATCCTCTTACAGTCATAGGTGGGCCTTTTTCAGAGGTGGCCGAATCTTTACTGTGTGACACTTGGACTGATTCAGGGTGCAGTTCCACGACTGGTTGCACTAGGATTAATGGTGTGAGTGGTCTGGATAAGCTATAAGGGAAAGTAAGCTTTGTGGTCATCCCTTGCTTGCCATTTTTTTGCTACCTTCTGCCTACCATGAAGTGTTTCTGCTCTGTGATGCCTGCCTGCCATGCCACCCTGGGTTGGAGCCAGACAATTGTGGACTGAAACTTCTACAAAGTGTGAGCTAAATAAACCTTTCCTCCTTTAACTTTGGGTGTCGAGTATTTTGTCTCAGCAAGAAAATAAGTAACTAAGCAGTATCTATCAGTGTGATTCTTCTTGAATCCATCTATCAGATATGTTCTATTTCTATATGGTTCTGCCGCCTGCCTCACAAGCGCAAGGTCCTCAGTTGGATCCCTAGTACCAAATAAATAAATAAATAAAAATAGAAAACTCTATTGTAAACTATTGAAAAAAAAAACACAATGCATAAATTCGTTGTTGTTTATTTGAGCAATTAACAAAAAAACAAAAATGATTGACAAAGCCAGAAGCCCTTAGAACCCAAACAAGCATAGACAAGTGGTCAAGAAAATGATTTCACAGCATTCATAGGCAAACTGAAGCAAATTAATACAGAGACATATTAACTGATTACTGCATAACTGTTTAATTGCTTACAAGGACTCCAAAAATTAATTGCAGCTCAGCTAGTACAATTAAATTGTACATCAGTTAGGTCAGTTGGGCCCTAGTGCGGGAGGCTTGTCCACACCACTAGCCTGCAAATTTAATTCAACAGAACTATTATTTCCCTCATGCCACGAGTCCCAGTGAGTCAGGGTATGTTATTTTTTTAATGTACTTAGGATCTTGTGGCTAAAACTGAATTCAACATTTTTGCATCAGTTTTCATGAATATTTTGTCCTCGCTTTTACCTTACTTCTCTTGGGAGCACTCTGGAAGGGGTATTCTGAGCCCCCACTATCTATGAGGATGGCCTGGTTCTCTCTGCAGGTGGCCACCTTCCGCCTGGTGGAAATCGAGGGACCATCCACATCTGCCTGGTTTTGGTCTTCCTTTGTTGGCTCAAATCCCTCAGGTTGCAGAATGCGCACAAAAGCATCCATGGAAAAGCTGACCCTCGCCTCCCCACAGCTGCACTGAGATGCCACTTTTCCATAATCGATCCACCTCGGGGTGGCAAAATTGATGGCTTCTGCACAGTTGAAGCCATGGTTGAAGCCAGCATGGTAGCCATAAGGAAACGTCACCATGAACTCCCCAGCCTCCTGAGTCACACAGCTGAAGGGGATCCCATTGTCCTTGAGCACTGTGGGTGAGATGAGAGCCACCTTGTGCCTCAGGAAAGCCCCACAGCTCCGGGAGCTGCCTGGGAAAAGCTCCCTGGCCAGGAGCTCCAGGCGCTGGCCATGCTCTGGGGGCACCGCATACCAAGTTTTGGGCTCCCCAAAGTGCAGGTAGTTGATGCTGTAGAGGTCCATGTCCTCCGTGTGCCACGCAAACGTGGTCTTCCACATGCCAAAGTACAGGTAGGGTGTGTTGACTCCCTCGATGACAACTCCACATTCCTGCTCCAACAGATCC